TTTTTTTTTTTTTTTTTTTTTTTTTTTTGCATTGGTTGGAACAATATTTTGCTCAGCTTTGGAAAAGTCCTTTGAATGGTAAGTTCTTCAATCAGTTGAGAGGGGATAAGGGACTCTTTAGAGTTCACAAAAACGTATAATAAGTTTGGTTGGTATTCAAATTCTTTTTAACCAATAGAGGTGCTAAAATTAGTATTATGGTTCCAGCAGAGACTCAAAAAAGAGGTTGGATGGTTTTTTGGGAGATATTGGATGAATTGCAACAGCAATCTAGAAATCCGGTTGATTTTTGCATGCAGAATGATGATGTTTCTCAGGCACGTCTTAGAAGCAATGATTGTGACAATGACCAGGTTTTTTCAGCTTCTTTGGGATTTAAAAAGGAAAGGAGATGGCAGTTATACACTTCGAGGAAGTTTTTGTTATAATAAGGCTTCATACTTTTGAAGATTGAAGGTATATTTCTGAAATTTTGAAGAAATAAGTTTGTAAAAATTGTTAAACCAATCCTTTTTCAGCAGATAAGGCTTAGCTTAAAATGAAGGATTTTAAAGGGTTTGCTGACAGGGGACTTCTTGCTTCTTGGTAGAAGTTGGTGTCTAAAATACAAAAAATGGATGCTCAAAAGCATAGTAGGCTAAGTGGGGGTAGAAGGTTTTGGAGGATGGATCAAAATCAAGAATTTCCTCTTTCTTTATGGGATAAGGAACACGATGAAGCCATAGGCAAGGAATCTGGTTTGCTCATTAAGATTCTTCGGAAACAATTATTTGTTTATGGTTAGGTATCTTACCCAACTTCACTTGAAAATGCAAGAAAAGCACAACAAACAAAACAATAATTGACAATACCACAATGCAAGAGTGTTGGTCAAATCTTGATTTGAATTTTGGCATGGGGTGTTAAAAATGTTATTAGAGCAGGACCTCTTCTAGTAAGATGTGATTCGGGACAAACTAAGCAGAAGTTGGTGGGCATGTAACGCCAAGTAAAGGATATGATGCAATTAGGTGCGCTTTCCTTTTTTATGGCTCAATTTTAGGAACTTCAAAGTTAATCTTGTTTTCTTAAGCAAAATTCTATGTTGGATGACCACGTAGGAACTTTTCTAGAAAGTATGTGATTGAGAATATAGCATGCTGAAATGACCCGTATTGGTCTGTAGGGATATTATGCACTCTTAGAAGCAAGATAAGTAGATAATGTGGTCATGTCGCAAGAAATGCAGGGAGTATCAGAGGCATCATATGCAAAATCTGGATTCCAAGTGTTATAAATGATATTAGAGCAGACCTCTTCTACTAGGATGTCGCCAGGAATGTAAGGGAATGTTAGAGCCATCACATTCGAATTTGGATTCTGAATCCTAGTACGAATCCTAGGCTTGGTGGTGCTTTCAACAAGTTTTAGTTGGCCTTTAGTGTGGTTTTGAATGGGCTGTCTCTGGCATCATGTGTGGCTTCTCAAGCTCTGGCTTTGGTCTTTAGTGTGGTTTTTAGTGGGCTGTCTCTGGGTTTGGTTTTTAGCGCGGTTCATTGTTGTGTTTGTTGGCCTTTTTGTCTTCTCAGATCTTTGGTTTTTTCATTCCTTTTTGGGTTTCTTTTTGGCCCTTGTTACTTCACTTTTAGTTATTTTTTCACTCCCTTGTGGAATTTGTATTCATAAGCATTAGTCTCTTTTTTATTTCTTGTTGAAGAAAAAAAAAACAAAATGTTGAGTTACTTCTAAAAGTAGAGATTATTGTGCACTTAAAATTATTATTTATAATCTCCTGGAAAATTAACTTCAGCTATTTTAAAAAATTGATTTTCCATGGAAACACATTATAAGTAAACAGGAGACAATAGCTTAAAGAAAATGGTCATCTATACATGTTTTTGCTAAATTGTTTTTCAAAAAACTAATTTTTTTTTTCCAAAACACTTCCAATAGCCCCTATCATGCTGAATTTGTTCTGAATATGGGAAATGGTTGAAATATATAGTGTCAATGCTAAATTAGTTCTGAATTGGAGTGTTTTCGACTTCATCTAGTTCATGATTATTTGGCTCCTCTTGTGGTGGCTATTTTTTGGCCCCTTTTGTATTATTTTATTTTTCTCCATGAAAGCTCAGTATTTTTATTAATGAAAGTGTTAAATTAGTTTTGGCCAATTTTTTTGGTTTCCAATAGGGATGATTGTAATACATGATGTTGTACTTCACGTATGCAGACTGGTTGCTTCAGGTTTTGGAGATCAAGTTGATAGCAGACCATTATGGTAATATATATTTATGTACTTAGGTTGTTTACCGATGCCGATTACTTTATTATTTTCGTTATTTATTATTTGCTGAGAAGGAAATTATTCCGATGTTGGCACATGAAAAATATCAACTGCCAAAAGGAGTTGCAGAAAGGTACCCCACCTGGCAATTATCAAAAGAGTCATTATTTCGAAGGAGATTTGAGATTTTCCTGATATTTATTTTATTTATTTAAAATATTTCTTGCACGAATATTATGATGAGATGGTGTTTTATTTTTTTAAAATTTTATTTTGATATTTCAGAATTACCTGCTTGGAGCTTTTAAGCCATCTTGCAACATATCAATTGCATTTTCTGATGGGAAAACACGCAAGCAGGTATCCCGTTTTCAGTAGTTAGCTGATTTAATGAAAGAGAGAAAATGTTTGTTCCAATTCTCATTTAGACGTGTTTTTGAAATAATAAACAGGTAGTATCTATGTAAGCTTATTGTTTTTTTTAGAAGAGAAACAATTATGAATGGAACAAAAGGAGTTAGACAACCCTAATGCTGCCTATTTGACAATTGGTATGACCGAGGGAAAACTAGAGCTAATTTCCCACCATTTACACATAAATCATGCCAAAAAACTGTATGGAGACTTTCCAACCTTTACTTGAATACTAGTACTAACAAAAGCAATCGTGAGGCTAATATACCTCATACCTCCAAGGAGACTTTGAAAAACCCCCCAAATAGGGAGATGGCCAAAAACATTCAGCACTCGATGAATAGTAATTTAGCCACAATAAACTGCTGCCAGAGAGCATTTTCCTCATAAAACGCCAAATCCATTTTTCTAAGAGGGCCTCATTTTGATGCTCTCGATTACTGATCGCAAAGCCTACCGTAAGTTGGTGACGCTGAGTTGTCTTCCAATTTACATTGTGCATACCCCCATCCAATTGCGAATCTTCCCAAAAAATTAGCGAAGAATCTTTTCCAAGGAAAACTGCTACTTTGGTGGGAAGGTGGAACAAAGAGAGGCAATAAATCGGTAAATAGAGT